ATCTCGCCCGCTCTCTGCCCGACCGGCGAAACCCGACCCGGGCCCAATCTCCGCCATCTCCCGCGCAGGCCATGCGGGCGCTCCGGGCCCGGCCCCGCCGATGGGCTCGCGGCCGTGGCTCCTGGCAGTCGCTTGCTTCTGGCCTCCTGCTGAAGAGTTCACACGTTTGCAGAGGAATGGCTCCTTTCGTTTTCAACAGGAAGCAGGTCTATGCCGACCGGTTGCGGTTCGGTCGACTCGGACTCCTGTGGTTTTTGTTAATCTTTCCTTCTAAACGAAATTCAGTTTTAGAAAGGTCGACTTGATGTGACTTTGAGACGTCCCGGGCGGAATTTTTAGTAGACCGTTGGGTTCATGGGTTTAGTTGTCAGATAACATTGGACAGGAGGGTGTCTGATGTAGATAGAAATATTTTGTAAACTACAAATTAAAATTAACTGAAGAAATATGGATTATCCGTGCTATTCTATTTCCGAGAGTCAAAATGTATTCTCATTTCAGTTTTTTAGAGATAAATTTAAGTACCATATTTTCCATTGTTTGGAGGAAATTCCTTTGTTTTAGGAAGAACATATTTTAGAACATTTGCTGCCACCTTTTACAATGATCCTTGAGTCCCCGAACTCCAAGTGTAACATCATGAAGCAGTCCAAATGATAACATTTTTTTGTGTAGCATAGTCAGTATATTTACATCTGAAACAGGTTAGCATAGACTGGTCCCACCGAGCTGCTTTCACCTTCAGTAGGGAGCAAGACAATTAAAAAAACATACATGTAAAATGTTTATGTGCACACTAGTGTAGTAAATCATTTGTCTCAATGCTGCTCCTCGGCAAATCTACAAAAGAGAATAGGTGTATTTCTTCGATAGTTAAATAAGTGGTAAGAATAAAGTACTCATGAAATATCAGACGAATGGATAATTGCAAAACTTATCAAAGCTAAAAGCTAGGTTCCCAAACAAGGTTGACCATTGGAATCACTTGGAGACCTGGTGCAATTGAAAATCCCTGGCCGCCTTCCCCTGATTTGCTAGATTGTAAGCGGGGCCCAGTTGACTCCGATGCTTAGTAACCTTATAGGACAGAGTAGAACTGCCCCTGTTAAATTCAGACATTGTAAAACTTTTTTTTAAAACAGTTTTATTGGCACATAATCCACATATCAAGAAATATACAATCATTACTCCAAGCAATTTTAGAATATTTTTTCTTATTTTTCATGGTTAAAGTGCTTTTAAAATGAGTTGGGTAAGCACAATCAGGTCCTTACCCCTTCCTGTATACATTGCTTGCTTCCCCAACCCCAAGAGATTTTTAAGTCTTTACAGGGCAGAAAACGTCATGTCTCCTGGCACAGTGGCAAGTAGATTAGAACTGTTGACCTTGTGAGTTGCAGTCCAAGACAGCACAATGCTTAACCCCACTAGGTCACCGCCAATCTAAATCAGGTTTTTCTGATATTCTCTTTATTTTCACACTTCACTTATCTTTGTAGCACGTATGACCTTTGGTGATTATATCTTTATTTGAAATTGTTCTCATTGGACTGTAATTTCCATGAAAAGGCCCATGGGACCGTGTGTTATATTTAATTGTCCTCTTTGCACCTAGTACAATGCCTTGCATGAAATCAGAGCTCAATTAATACTTTCAGAAAGAATGTTCAACTTAGTCTGCCAAGTGATTAACTAAAACTTTTTTTTCCTTAGTGCCTTGCTTTTCATGACGTTTCCCCGCAAGCACCAACACATTTTCTGGTGATACCTAAGAAGTACATTTCCCAGATTTCTGTTGCAGAAGATGATGATGAAAGTGTAAGTAAATTTCTTAACACAGTTTATCCATTTTCTTGCTTTTTAAATGGGGAAACTAATTTTTGCCCCAATGTGGTATGACATCTTCATGAGTGAGGAAAAACAGAAAACCCTTCAGTGCTTAAATGTACTATATAAATAGTTTGAATTTGATAAATATATTCAAGACAAATATATTGGGACGTTATAAGACCAGGAATTGGTATACTCTCATTAAATTGGAGGGGGAAATTATTGAAATTCTGATAAAGCAAATGACTTTAAAGGGTGGTTTGTATGGAAGCAGTCATAAAAGAGTCACTTATCTTTGAAAGTCAAAGATCTAATAAATCATGAGCCTTTGGAGTGTAGTTGGTTACGCATTAGACAGCAATTAGAAACGTCTGCAGTTTGAAATCAGCCACTGCTCCATGGGAAAAAGATGGAACCTTGTACTCCTGTAAACAGTTACAGTCTCAGAAACTCTCAGGGGAGTTCTACCCTGCCTTATTAGTTGCTGTTCGTCAAAATTGACTTGATGGCAGGGAGTTAGTGTGGTTTGAGTTTTATCCAAAAGAGACACAGGCCGTTTATATCACTGACAGTTAACCTTTTAAAGTTCTCCAAACATACATATTTAGTGTGTCTCACAACTTGATTACAGTATTCACAAATTACAGCAGGGTTGGCAATCCATGGTCTAGGAGACCATCTGACTAAGTTTTATTGGAACACAACCACTCTCATATGTTTAGTCATTATCTTAATAGTTTGTTAATTTTGACAAAAGCCATTAGCCCCAAAGTCTTCAAATACTGACTGTTTGGCCTTTGGAGAAAAAGCTTGCCCAACCACTAAAGGCAGCAGCCCAGAAAGGCAGGAGCTCTCACTTTTAAAACGTGTGAAATTTATTACCAGAGGTTGAGCTCACACTTAATCACAACCTCCAAGCTAAGTATAACTAGTTCTTAGGCTATGTCCCTGCTAGATACTTGCTCTAATGAAATGATGGCTGACGATATGGGTGCTAAAGCAAAGTGTATTGAGAAATCACATGGGGTCGGCTATCAGAAAGAATCATAGGAGGGGTGGTGGTCTTAAAGGCTTGTCTTAACCCTATAAGTGAGGTGTCAGTTAGGTTCATCCAGAGGAAGCACACCAGCCAGTGTGAAAAGTTCCAAATTCATTATCAGGGGAAGAGGCTGTATTACAGTTTAAAATCTGAACACTTTGCAGAAGGCCATGCATGACAGTGAAATCCCTAAATGCGTTTAAAAAATTCCCACACGGATTAAGCCTCCATTGAATTCCCTCAGTCTACTGACCACAGCTGTGAATAGTCTTATCCTCAGACAGAGTGCATTGGGAAGTGTATTAATGTAGCAACAAACCAAAACCAAACTGCCATTGAGTAAATGCTGATGCACAGTGACCCCCTGTGGATTTCTGAGACTGTAACTGTTTATAAGAGTAGAAAGCCTAATCTTTCTCCTTTGGAGCTGTTGGTAGTTTCAAACTACTGACCACGCAGATCGTAGCCCAAGGCGTAACTACTGTACCACCAGGGCGCCTCAATGTAGATACAGTTAGGTTAAAATTTAACATTTGTTTCCTCTTTTGACCCATTTTTAACTTGCTTTACTTTAAAAAAAATTTCTGCTTTCTTTTGGGTTGTTTTTGTTTTATTTTGTTGGCATCTGTTTTGTGTGATTTTCTTTATATGAAATTCAGGATAGGTACGTCTGTAGAGACATTAACTAGCTTAATACTTTCTTAGGGTTGTGGCAGGGGCGGTGGCAGAAATAGGAACTAATCATAATGGATACAAGAATGAAAAAATTGTAAAATTGATTGTGGTGATGAATGCACAACTGTTTAATGTAGCCAAACCTTTGAATTGTGTGGTGCATGAACTATGTCAATAAAATAAAAAAGAGATATATTACCTGAAAAGCACAGCAAGCCTGGGACCTTAATATAGGGTGAGAAGTGGTTAAGTGGGCTTTCATCTACGCAGACCCTAGCCGACTGGCAGAATCGTGTGATTTTCATGGTTATTACACGGAGCAGTCAAGGTGTTTTGAGTGAACTGTGGAAGAAGATAGAATTGGATCTGAAATGTGTATAAATTTCCACCATCTTAGCTCTGCAAAAAATGTCTATTCACAATTGCTTTTTCCATGGAGATTTGTAGTATTGATCTACCTAGATCAGGGTTTTTCAAATTTCTGCTGCGTAACTTTTCTGTGGGAAACCTTAGGTTTCTACGTTTCTCGGGCTGTTTTCATATTCACTGTAAGATGAAATGGGCAGTATTTGTTAAAACTTTATGGAGTCATCTTTTTTGAGAGTCATTTACAGATGGCTGAATTACCTAAAAGTGAGATGAGTTAAATATATGACTACTTCTGTCACCATCTATGCCACCGAATGAAAATTTTAGAGCTGTTGACATGTAAACAAGTGATTACATAGATTTAACATAAGTAGATATAGAAGGCTGATGACTGTTCTCAACACTTGTTTCTTAAAACTGTGCCATGAATTCCTAATTTTCAGTATAAATTAATTTATTGAAAGTAAAGTCTATATATTTTACAGCATCTTTTAAGATGAGGGAGCCCAGGTAGCTTAGTGGTTGTATGTGTTGGGCTGCTAACCTGAGGTCACCAGTTAGAAACCACCAGCTGCTTGCAGGACAAAGGTGGGGCTTTCTACTCCCTGTAAAGAGTTACCGTCTAGGAAACCAACAGAGGCAGTCTTTCTGCTCTATTGGGTCACTCTGAGTCCGAATCAACTCGATGGCTCTGTTTTGGTTTTGCATCCCTTAAGATTGAGCAGAAAAAAGTGAGGGAAGAAAATACCCCGATATTCTAATAAAAAAATTAAAGATACTTCCATGATTCAGGGTGGTGGTGCTATTTGAATCACATTCCTCCTCCCCCTAATGAAACTGGTAATGTAAGCAGTATAGTGCTATGCTTGGTCTAATTTAAGATGGCAGTACCTTAAAATAGTTGCCAGAGAGACATTTAGGTGGTTTTTCCATAACAATGTTTATTTTTTTTTATCTTGGGAGGCTTGATGAGACTGGTTTATCAAGTAAAGTGTTTTAGAATCTGCAAAATTTGACAGTGGTTTCTCCCAGGGCGCTTTGAGTCTGAAGCAGGACATTTCTCTTAATGAAACGTTACTGAGCTGTCGGTTGCTTCCAGCTCTGACGGAGGTTGTCTTCAGTATCCTGAATGATCTTAGGCTCCAAGATGGCATTGTTCCTCTGCTGGTTGAGGGTGGATGCAGAAAGAGAGGTTGTCTTAAACCTCTGCTAGCTCAAGGTGGACACTGTCCCAGCAAACGAAAAGGATATTGTGATCCTTTTTATTTCTCTTTATAGGACAGAAGTGGGGAATTTGTGACTAACTCCATTCCAACTTCTGTTTGCTTTATTTTAAGCAAAAAATGCAACCTTCTCTTTACACTGTCTTATGGGACACTTATATATCAAAAGAGCACAGAAGTTCTAAGCAAAAAGGTCCTGACCAACGGATTAGTAGGCAGTAACATATTCTCCTTCCTCATGAAGAGTTTTGAGGTAAATTATGCATTCGAGATACATCATTTCAGGACAGACTGTTTAATAAATAATGCTGGGAAAATTACTATTCATATCCAGAAATAAAATTGGACGATGAGCTTATGCTTTCAGATGGAATACAAACCCACCAGACAAGAGTTCTAGAAGCCAATGTTAGGAATATTTCTATGTCCTTGGGTTGGGAAGGATTCCTTAACAAAATAAACCAACAAACCCCAGACTGAGAAAAGGCATATATGATAATTGAAGTGTGGGGAAAAGGTGGAAAAGAGTGATTGAGGAGGTTCAATCAGGAAGCTTCTGAGGAAAGGTAAATGTTCTGTTTTTGATCTGGTAGGCATGTGGGTGCTTGCTTTATAATTCTTTAAATTGTTCCTTTTAACATTCTTATATATGTGTGGTATTTTACAAGAAAAGAGAAAACAAAAATTTTAAATGAATGTTTAAAGTTTGCAGTATTTTAATTATAAGGTAGGGGGTAGAGGTTTCCCTTTTAAGTGAGAAATTACTCCTGAAACTTAAAAACTTTTGAGCACTAATTTTAAATTCAAGTCATAGTGTTCAAAGGTGAGTGTGTTTGATGGTAAATTACCACCTTATCTGGAAGAACATATTAAACCTTCAGAATGTTAATGTTTAACATTCATTATAGTTGCACAAATCATGGTATTTTAAGGTCAGAGCTTCTTATTCAAACACAGCTCTTGCCTCTAGATAGAATGTTAATTTTCAGCCAATTAACTTTCTAAATTGGAATTTTAAGGTCAGCTTTTTAACATGGGAGTCACCATTTTTACAAGGAAAGATCCACAAACCAGCTTTAAAACTGTTAACCCAAAATTAAATTTTTGACCAGCTCAGACATTGCTGGATCTGCTGTACTTTTTGGGTACTTGTAGGACTCTGTGGTCAATACTTGGCATCATTCTGGGCCATCCCGTTCCTGCTTTCTGACTCAGTCTACAGGCACCGTAGCTTCATTTGAACACAAAATCTATTAATGTGTTACCTGCTTTCTTTTCAGGCAGAAAATAAAAAGAGAAGGGCTGGAAAGAGAGAGAACCTAAACTACCGGTCCACTGCTTCTGTGTTCTCATGACAAGAGAACGAAGGTGGTGAGGGAGGGGTTAGCCTCTCACCACCATTCCAACAAGCTCGCAGTAGAGGGTGTTCTGGTTCCTGTGGCAGGGAAAGAGGGAAGGGAGAGGGACGCTTCACTTCTTATTTACTTATTTATTTCACTTATTTCTATCGCCTTAATAAGCTCCGGAGGAGTCGTGGGGGTTAAGGGCTCAGCTGTTATGGAAGGACTGGTGGTTCAAGTTCATCCAGTAGTTCCACAGGAGAAAGATGT